AAATATTAAGGCCAGAAAGGTATTAAGTAACTTACATTCTTTCTAGTGGGGGATTGGCAGTGTGTTCTCTTCGTGTCTGAGTCAGAAGTGTAGGGTGTCCAAAATTCTTAGCGGCAGTAGGGCTTTGAATTATATCAGTGTAAGACTTGGTTGAAATTTATGGTTGGGTGGGACTTTGAATTCTTGAATGTGTACTGTATATATTACTGTATATAAAATAAGGTCAGAATAGTACCTTACTTCTGCATTATAGGGCATGCAAAAATGTATATTTTCAGTATACATTTCTTATTATTATATATATTTCTTATTATATATATATATATATATATATATATATAATAGATACATTATATACATATTATATGCGATACTTAATTTTACTAATGCCTTGCATGTAATGCCCCTTTTAGCTGCAAAACATCTTTCCCTTCTCAACTGCAGAGTTTCTTCTAACAGTATCATGAATTTTGTCAAGTTAGAAGAACCATCTACTTCAGGAAAAGATGTAACTGCTAATTCAACATCAATAAGTGTAGAAAATAATAAAATCAATTCTTTTCTTTTCAAATCTGAAGTTACAGATGCAGAAATATTGTGGGCTTTTAAGTGCATCAAAAGCCACTATTCTTTTAAATCGTGCGATGATATTGGGCCTTTATTCACTAAAATGTTCCCGGATAGTTCCATTGCAAAATAGTTTTCATGTGGTGAAAAGAAATGTGCTTATATCTGTTATTTTGGTCTTGGCCCTTATTTTAAAACTTTGTTACTAAAGCATTGTAAAAATGCTGAGTTTTTTACATTACTATTTGATGAGACTCTTAATCTGACAAATCAAAAGAAGCAACTAGATATTTATGTGAGGTACTGGCATCACGAAAATAAGGTCAGAACTCAGTACCTTACTTCTGCATTTATAGGGCATGCAAAAGTGAAATTATTTTATCCAAATTTTATGAATGTGTTGAAAAACTAGACTTGTCAAAACTCTTACAAATATCGATGGATGGTCCTGCAGTAAACTGGAAATTTTATGATTTATTGCAACAGGACTTGACAAAGGAATATAACATTCAATGCTTGACATTAGGGACATGTGGTTTACACATTCTTAACAATGCTTTCAAGCATAGGATGTCATCCACTGGCTGGGACATTTCATCATTCTTATCCTCCTTATATTGGATTTTTAAAGATTCTCCTGCAAGACGTGAAGATTTTTTAAGTATATCTGGCTTAAAAAAGCTACCTGTGAAGTTCTGCTTTTACCGATGGTTGCAAAATGTCCCAGCAGTTGAAAGAGCCATTGAAATATGGGATGACTTGCTACTGTACATTAAAGAAGTTGAAATGGGGAAGTTTAAAAAAAATTCATCGAAATCCTTCTCAAATATTTTGGAGGCAACTAAAGATAAAACATTTCTTATAAAATTAAATTTTTTTTCTCTCTCTGTCGAAAATATTATTGCCTTTCCTTGAATATTATCAAAGTGATAAAACACTTGTTCCCTTTTTTGCTGAAGATATCTTAAAACTTGTAAATGATTGCCTTCAGCACTTTAAAATTTTGAAACTAGAATATTCAAAAATAACTAAAGCAGAAAATCTTTATAAATTTAATTTTAATGATCCAAATTGTTATAATGATAAAAGTAAAGTTTATTTGGGATTCATTGCTGAGCAGTTAATGAATGATAAATGCCCGCAAGAAGGACATTTCACAAGCTGAAAGTTTTGCATTGAAACAAGAAGGTCAACAATGTGTCTTAACAATAGTACAACACTTAATGTCTAAATGTCCAATAAATTATTCTCTTATTCGAAATGCATCTTGTATAGACCCCGCGATTGATGGTTAAAAGTCCAGAAAAAGCCCAGAACAAAATGAAAATAGTTCTAACGGTATTAATGCAGAATAAACGTGTTTTTACAAGATGATTGGGATGAAATTCTGCTGCAGTTTGGAGAGTTTCTAGACAAAGTAGTTAAGACAAATTTACATGAATTTTCTACTTTTGATCCTCAAAATCTTTCTCTTGACACATTTCTCACTTCTTATTTTCATGATTTTCACTATTCAAAAGTATGGAAAATAGTGAAAATGATTCTTATCTTGTCACATGGACAGGCCTCTGTGGAAAGGGGCTTCTCTGTAAATAAAGCAATTGAAATTGAAAATTTAAGTGACTCATCATACATTTTTCAACGCACAGTATTTGATTACATAAAATTTTCTGGAGGTGTTCTTAATATCGAAATTAATAAAGAAATGAGATCAGCAGCAGCTTCTGCAAGGTCTAAATATATGCAGTATTTAGAAGAACAAAAATCTTTAACTAAATCTGAAAATTCAAAGAGGAAAAGAAATATCATTGAGGAAGAAATTGATTATATGAAGCAGAAGAAAAAATTTCTTCAAAGGGACATTAAAGATATTAATGAAGAAGTAGATGCTTTAGCAGATGAAGCTGAGACCAGCATGAACATTGATTTGTTTATCAAAGCAAATGAACTTAGAAGAATAGTTAAAGAAAAGGAAATAGACATAAATAAATTAGATGTTAAAATAGCTGAAAAGATTTCAGATTTAAAAAAAGCACAAATGTTTTGTATCTTTTATTGTACAGTTTATTATTCTAGTATCTTTCAAAAAACCAAGGAAATAAATTGTATGTTTACAAATCAGTTATTTTAATCTGCAAAATATTCTTACATTGTGATTATAATAGTAGTTGACTGTGTTTAAATAAATATCAAATAAGTTAAATAATAATCATGTAAATCTCTAAAATAGTGACTGTTATTAGTGTAAAATACACTTATACATGTTTTTAAAGAAATTATGTTCCTAATTTAATGTTATCTACTTCATAACTTGTAGGGAGTTAGTTTAATTTTCAAAATTGTTTTATGGTAAGTATTAAAGTGAATTTAATAATAGCGCATAATACACACATCTGTTAGTGTCTTAAAGTGAAATCACAAGCATGAAGTCGGTTGTATGGATAATTGCTTTATTCTATTTGTTTTTTGTTTTTTGTTTTTTTATTTGCTGATAGGTCCTTAATTTTTTCTTTGATGGTCCTTAAAAGTCCTTAATTTTCATGTAAGGAAATGTGTACGAACCCTGTTGAACAAGTAAAATAGTGAATACTAAATTATGAGTTAACTCTAAAAGTGAGAAGTTTGGAAAAACTGAAGTAACTTCTAAAAAGTAGAGAAATTGGAAACAAGTAGGTAAACCCACTGGAAGAATGACTTTTGAGAAAATTGAAACAATATGGGCAACTAATGTCAAGCAATAAAATCTTTTAGATTGAATCAAAGAAGAAATTATCCATTTTTTCTAATTTAAAGAAAAAATTTATAAAGTGATAAACATTTAGAAATTGTATAGATGTATATAAGCATTTGACATTTTGTCTGTATTTTAGTTTTGCTAGACTTGAGAAAGGAAGCAATCAGTTTCCATTAATACATTGAATCAACTGAATCTCAATCTAAGGATTAGCTATAGTTAAAGTAGGATAATTGTTATTTACTGTCATAAATTGTTATTTACCTGTTTGGTGCTTTTCTTGTACAGCTCAATTGATATTTCCTTCTGGTTTGTGCATTGTGTATTGCAGTCTAAACACTAAATTCAGTGATACTTTCATTTACTGAAATCCTGGCTTTAATACTTCTTAAGAGCTTGCGATGAAATGATCTAGGCTTGTAGTAACTATTAACCTGAACTTCTTTGAAAATGTGTTAAATGAATTCAAGGAATACCTTGGACATAAGGAAGCATATAAGGAACTGCCACCACAGAATGCATAAAATGATTTAAGGGAATGAAACAATTATATCTGTTAAATGTCAGGAAAGATATGGTTACTAATTTCAGAGGAAGAGACCAGCATGAGCCATCTGACAATGAATTTTCATAATGACTGCTAACATTATGGAAGATGTGAAGTGAAAATATGTATACAGGTATGGCTGCAACATTTTTGGCATCTTAAGTGGTCAATACAGTAGATGCCTTTTATAAATTTGAAACCTTAATAAATAATTGAAAAATAAAATTTTATTTAATTCTTATTTGTGAGAATAATTTAGCTGGCATCTTCCAAAAATTGATGCACTAAGCACTTGCCTATGTCACCTAACTTGGAGCTGGTCCTGTCTATGTATTTGTTAGAATGTATAAATTGCATATAGAATGAATTGGAACTCTAGTTAATCTGCAAACTACTACATGCAGAAAGGAATTTTACATTAGTTCCAAAAGTGACCTATTAACACTACTTAAATCAAGCAAGAAAGTTATGCAGTAATAAGGTTTATGTGTTATCTACGTACACCTTCTAAAACATAATATTAAAATTAGAGTCAAAGATTATTTTTCACTGCCTTCATGTGCATGGTAATTTCAGATATAGAGAAGATCATGACCTTGCCTAAAATCTATCTGGGAGGGGGGGAATGTCATAAGCATAGAAAATAATAAGTCAGTTAGGTATTTTTTTAATTTTACAAATATTTCTATTTATAAAATTTCTGGGTTACTTCCTTTGCTACAACCTTGGGCAATGTTTGCAATAATAAGGGAATTAAATGACTGTAGATATTAGCCATTTCCAATGAATGCATTAAGCTGTTTTTAAAATATTTAAAAAAAGCTTCTGCATTCAGTATATCCCCCCCCCTTTTTTTTTTTTTTTTTTTTTTTTTTTTTTTTAATAATTCACCAGATCTTTACTTTTATGCAAGTTGATTTAAGCTTAAGCTATAAAATACACTTTAAATAATTTTTAAGAAAGGTAATCTAACAGTGGAGCTGTTCAGAGAATATGTAATTTATTATTTTTTTAAATAAAACTCATTTTATTTTGTGCTGTAAATATCCTGATAACTTATTTAAGTTTCTTTTAATGGCAAAAAGACCTTTTAAAAATATTTGGCTGTTATGTTTTGATAATTATAGATTTCATTTTCTTATTTCAATCTAGTAGTCATTTTGGTGTTTGACTTTTCACATATATCATCACTTTACAATATATTAAATTGGCTAAATGAAACATCCAAGTGCAACGAAAAACCCTTGCTGTTTCTTGTTGGTACAAAGAAAGATATAGTTGTAAGTAATTAATTTTTCAAACCATGTACACTGCTTTTATTATTGATTATTATAAAATTATAAAATGTGTATAATGTTGTGATATTTTTTAGCAGATAGGCATTTACAGTTTGATTGCTTAGTGTCTAAAATTTGTTGTTCTTTCCTCCATGGTGTATGATTACAATTAAATTGGAGTAAATATGTACAAAAAATTAAAAAAAAAAATTAATAAAAAATACCACTTGACCCAGTGCAATCGAAAAATTTTAAAACTTTTTCATTTTTCTTTTCTTTTCTTCTTCTTCTTCTTCTTTTTTTTTTTTTTTTTTTTTTTTTTTGAGGGGGGGTTGCACTGTAAGAAATCAAGATATTTCTCCTACATATCCTTATGGCATTAATGGTCAGCACATTCAGATAGCAAACTGGGAGTTCCAGACCTGATTCCTAGTGAGAGTACAGTTGATTTTTCAAGGTTTCTTCTTAAAAATAGCTTATGATGCTACTGTGGTGCCAAAATGGAAATGTAATGCTTTTTATTACCTTGATCTAGTTGACTGTGGTCTTGTCTCTTTTTTCCATTTTGCTTTAATCCTCTGAGTGGCACGGGCTTTTAGATCTGTCATGAAGACCTGACAAAAAAAAATATGATGGTCAGTTTAAGACGGTTGTGGTGTTCAGAGGGTTAAAGTGTTTGGAAAGAAAGAGAACGAATGTAAGGAATTATAGGTATGCCTCCTGTGTGTCAGTGTATCCAACTTATAGATTTGATATCTAGTGCATGAGAAACTGATTTTTGATGATATTTTATTTAAAAAAACTAATGGCTCAAATATATTACTGAAACTACCTGTTAAAGCAAAATTCAACTGTCTGCCTTGAACTAAAAAGTATTAAAAGTGTTATTTGAGGACTTAAAACAACAAGAATTAGCTTAATGTTCTTAAATTTGCAGGACTAGTTTTGAGGGTTAGCATGTTAACTAAAAAAATAAAGTGGTTTCCATTATCATGGTATTTTGTGCAGCTTGTATTTATTATTATCTGTCTTAATTTCAAGATGAATATTGAAGATCAGAATGTTAAAAAAAGTCAGAGATTGATTTTCATACTTCACTTTCTTGAATTATACCTGTGTTAAAAATATATAACAATTTAAATTTTTATATGCTTTCTATAAATAAAATTCTATTCCGTAACTGTTCTTTGTCTTGCTAAAGATATATTAGTCCCTGAAAAAAAATTATTGAAATTAGACTTTTACCCAAAGAAAAAACAAAAGCATTCACTTCAGATCTTGCATTAAAAAGAAATTTGAATTTTAATAGATAAAAAACATTTTTACAAGTACTGGTCGTTAAATTTTTTGAAACATTTCATTACAGAGCAATATCACTTTGGTTAATTGTCCATATGAATCTAAATCATTTTCTAAAGTCAAAAATAATGAATTAAGGTACAGATAATAATACTATAAATGAATGCACGTATTATTTGCCTTTTAATTTTACTTTTTAAATTTAGTATTTGTTAATTTTATTTCAGTTTTGCCGTTTAAATACTCATTTTCTAAAAGTGAGCATTCCTACCTCCTATTCATAAAACACTGAAATGTGCATAAATGACATTTTGTATCATAATACTTGCCATTTATTTTGGTGCAGTATTTTACAAGGTTGATTGTTGATGTGGTGCATACAATTTATTTGGAATAAATAATTTTTATAAATTGGCTTACGGATTAAAAAAATATGACAGTATTGTGCAAATTGTATATCTTAAATGATTTAAGTCTTGAATAATTTTGATCATATTTATGATGATGAATTTATATTTTCCAGCTCTTGTTCAATTAATTAAAAAAGGAATAATTAAAAAATACTTTTATAATAAACATTTCTTTTTTTATTGCAATTTGATTTTATTTGATCCATGTAAAAATTTAAATATGTGTATTTTTTCTAAAAGGTATAATATTATCATAACTTGTGTAGTTTGAAAGTGTACCTTGGCTCATTTCTTCATGTGTAATCTTATTCTTATTTAATTCACAACACAAATTCACAAATTTATAGCTAGTTTTTCAAAAAATATTTAGTCATATAAAATTTTTATAATACTTTGTCTGCATTGTCTGTAAATTTCAGTTATAATTTAATAGTTTCCATAAAGATTACAAATAACAGATTCTATGTGTTATGTGTTTTTAGAAGGGGTTCTTTCAGGCAGATTTATTTACTTCAATAAATATATTATGACAAAAATATATTAAGCATTAAATTGTGTTGCTTCTTTGTATTTCTGCATTTATATCAAATTGATTCAAGTTTTTAAGAATTTATAATTTTTTTAATATATGCATAGGGGAATAATTATAAATATTTAGAAAAGATTTGTATTAGGTGCAATATATGTCATGTCTTACTAGAATGACGAAATGTAGCATCAACTTGAAATGGGGTTTTACATTTATTTTTAGCGACGTAAAAAAATTAAGATTTAGCATATGAAAAGTGTAATTTGAAGTTTAGTGGTGTAAGGATAAGTATTGTAGTAAGTATTCAACCGAGGTTGAAACATTTGAAGTGCATAAAAGTACTTTTCTAATCTTTATGCACTTCAGATAATTTTTTAGTTTAAAAATGCTGTTTTGAATTTTTGAATGTTCCCAAGAGTGATGCGCAATAGTGTAAAATATGTTTCCCTACCAAAGGAGTTAGTACACTTGCTATAAGTTTTAATGGGCACTTTCCTTGAGTTTAACAAAACAGATGAACATATCATGTCAGACTGTGACACATTAGTAAAACCATGTGATGCATAACAGATGTTACAATGAATTGAGTCTACTTGACAGTACATTTAGTCAGTAAATTAAGTTTAAGCATCTGAGTGGTTCAAATTTAATCAAGCGTTTATATTTGTAAAAAAATTGTCTGTTTTAAGTTGAAATTATTATATCCAGCATCACTTTCATTTGTTATTATTATTTTTAATAACTATATTTCTAAACTTCCTGAAGCAAATATTAACTAATTATCTTCAATTACAAGCACAAAGTAATAATTTTGACTTGATGTGTATGGACTGGTTTACATCATGCATTCTGTTAAAACTAAAGTTTTTACTAAGGCGTATTAATTTTTGCAGACAAAATCTGTGTATAAACTCACTGAAGATGAAGCAGTTAAACTAGCTAATACTATTAATGCTGAATACTGGCCAGTTTCTTCAAAAACAGGTAGTAATAATTCTTGTTGATTACATTATCTGGATATTATGTGTTTATTTGTATTTAACTTTTCATTTCCCTCTTTGTAATGCTCATTTGCAGTTTTGTTATTACCTATACATTATATAATCTTTTTATATATAGAATTTTTTCTGCGTGTACTTACTTGCTTTTTTCTACATTCTTATGTTTATGTCATTTATTTATAACAAACATATATCATGATATATTAATATGTCTTTATTACTCATGCTGAATATTTTGGTTATCAATTATTTAGTCATTAGCATAAACTTCCTGTTATTTGCACTTAATATTTATAAAAAAGCAATATATAAAACATGTTTTAAGAGGGCATTGTTCATGATAATATAAGGCATAATTAAAAGTTTCAGCTTAGAAGTTTGTTTAAACAAATAAGGTCATTTGTGTAAACAATAAGGTAAGTTACTGGTATAAAAAATTCATGATTTTGCCATGGCCATGACATTTCTGGAAATGTCATTTCTTGAGTTGAGTAAGGCAGTATTCCTAGAGTAAAATCAAGGCTATAAAAAATTTATAGCTCTAAAAAATCTATAGTTATAATCTATATATCTGTAAAAACCAAAAGCCTGAAAGCCATTAGTCTGTTAAGATTTTGTTACTGTAATATTGTAACTTGTAACTTAATTTCAAAATATTTTCAGATTTCCATTTCTAGTTTTGTTTCTATTTCGACTTCCCTTTAGGTGAAAAAATAGATGCTGTACTCTTATTAATAAATAATTATAAACTAAAGAAGAAAAGTATTTTATTTTTTGAATGCATAAACTGCCATTCACACATAACTGTTTCTTGTATTATTGCATTTTTATTTCATGTCTCCTAAATAATTATTTTTGATTGGGAGGAACATTAATTGAGTCAACTACATTGTATATTCAATAGGTAACAATTAAATATTACAATATTATTCTCAAAGATGCAAAATTTTAAAATTTATTAGTTAGCATGTAATAAAACTTAGACAAATGCCTCTCTTCTTTTTAATTACTGCTTTCATTAAAAGTTATGAATACTCCTTATTAATACTTTTATTTCCTCCCCATTTCAGGGAGGGAGACACCTGTAGCCTACTTGCCAGCCGCAAATATACAGGGTAGAAAAAATGAATGACTGGATTTTAAATATTTATATTTTGAAATTATTACATATATTACATTAAGTGATACACGAAATTAAAAGAAAAGATACCAAGTTTTCTGCAGTTAAAAATGTTCGTTTTGTGACCCTTTTGTTATATGATAAATATCTAATCTGTGGTCAAGTTTATTCCCCACTTGTTGTAGCATCATATTGTCAATGGTTCATTAGGAACCATTGACAAATACATTCATTAAGTTGTTACAGTGTTTTTGGCATCAGTGATTCATAAACAGTCTTTAACATAATTTATGGGGTTATGTCATTATTATTTTTTTATTTTACATAACCCCGTAAAAAGAAATCTCATGGCATAAGATCCGGGGATCTTGGCAGTCTTTGATTAACAGTAAATTGCTGTCACCTGCATGCCCAATCTATCGGTGTGGAAGCTTCTCATTTAAATATGCATATACATGCAAAGACCAATAGGCTGGGGTTCAATCTTGTTGAAACCCAAAATTTGTGTTGCTTTCATGTAGTTAAGGAAATAACTAAACTTTCACATGTCCAGATAATTGTTATGTGTTAGCGTTTTTTCAGCAAAAAAAAGGGGGGGACTATGCAATTTTGTTTGTGATGTGGCACAGAAGACATTGATTTTTGGTGGATCTCTTTGCAACTGCACAATTTCATGGGGAGTTTCACTTCCCCACACTCTAACATATGACGAGTGACATTTCTTGATAAATGGAAGGTTGCATCATCTGAGAAAATCAGTTTATTTATGAAATCTTCAGTTTCCTTTTTCTCTTGCATGTGAATACAAAAGTCAAATCAAAAAATTTTATCATTTGCTGCTAAATATTGCATCAGTTGTAGGTGATGTGACTTAAAATGTAATTTTTTTTTTTTTTTTTTTTTTTTTTTTTTTTTTTTTTTTGTGTGTGTGTGTGTGTGTAAAATTTTCCATACCATTTTCTGGGAAATTTCAAGGTTACAAGTGCGAACTGTCATAGACTTTGAACAAAACTCTGCCTCATCCTCTCCATCACTTCTTCCAAGATGAGTAGATGGCCACTGCTTTTCTTTTCACACAAGCAAGCTGTATCTGACTTGATACTTCCTTTTTGTAGCAATTTCTAAAGAATAACAGAAAGAATCTAAAGCTGCACAGAAATAACTGAAAAAGACCATTGCATATTCTACTAATATGCAAAAACTATTCTCAGTCTTTGTCACCATTTTGGGATTTCAATCATAACGTTCTGAGGATGGGCTGTCATCTGTTGATCGATGGTGGGGGAAAAATTTCATATATTTTTCTTTAATTTCATGTATCACTTGTTGTATTATATAGAATAGTTTTGAAGATGTAAATATTTAAGATCAATACATATATATTGATTATACCTGATTTTTCTTATAGAACATGAAGATAACAGTAATTTGTCTCCGGAAATATATTTGCTGTAGAATTACATAAAACTTGAATATTCTTAATGGATCCCCTAATAAGATAGATATAGCAGTCATACTGTTTTTTGCAGTGGCTTTCTTTTAACTTGCAAGAACCATTTCTGTGAGCATTCTGTACCATTTATTAATCCCAGTCTTGAAATTGTTTTACTTTTTCTGACTCATGTTGTCACTCATAGCTTCAGTCCAGGACATGAGAGATAAAAATACTTATTTCACATTCTTTTAACCAGTAATATTTTTAATATCTGGTTGTAACAAAAGTTTTCTGCCAGTAAACGGTTTTGGATAAAGTTAAAAAAAAAAAAAAAAAAAAAAAAAAAAAGCATAACCACCTTTAGTGCGGGTAGTAATCACCACCCAAATCTATGAGTTTCTGCCAATGTTTTGATAGTATTTCAAAGCCTTCGGCCCAGAAACTTGGTGGTCGTGAGTCCAAAAACAGATCAACCTCATTTTGGACATCCTGTGCTGAATGGAAAATAGCACCAGCAAGATGTAGTTGCAGGTGTGAAAAAAAGGAACAAATCTGAAGGAGCAGTGTTGGAGCCTATATGGTGGGTCTGGCAAAAGATCCCATTTGTGTCCATACAGAGTCCAACTGGTTGCAACAGTAAAGGATTTTTCTAATCTGGTAGCATGATAGTTCTATTTCAGACACCTTGTACTTAATGATAATGATATTTTTTTTCTACAAATTTCACAACATAGTGTTCTAAAGCAAGTCCTTTTCTTTCAAATGCCAAAAATCGTTTGACAAAGTACGATTAAAGATGCCAGTGCAAACTGTTTGTGCATATGATATTTGAGGTGGCAGGAACTTTCGTTAAAACCCAATATTTTATTTAGAAAACATCTGATGTGGACATCACATGACTTCCTTTCACAGCTTATTAAGTTATGCACATTTTTTGCTGCACTTCAGTTAACTTATTTCCTCAAATTATTCTAATTTAATTAACTGATCCCTCAAAGCAAGTTGAAAATGGCATCAAATATTGCAAATTTTGAAATTAAATATCCCGGTCAATTTTTCTTGTATAAGATTTAAACATCTTCTAGTTGTATTTATTTTTTCATAACAAGTATAAAATTTTCCCAAACGTAAGTGTAAAACCTGGAAGACCACATTAAAAGTTAGGTTTTGTTATTTTCCCAAAATTCTTCTTATTGTTTTTTTACTTAGGCATTGCCAAAACATGAATATTTTTGTCATTTAAAACACTTCTGTAATTGGAAATATATGACTACAACCAACGACTTGAAAAACAAAAAAGAAGCAGCATAAGGACTTTTAAGTCAGGTAAGGAGAGTGGGTACACATACATACATATGTCAGAAAAAGTCCATTTTTTTAAAAAAAAGAGTCCTTTATTCTATCTGTACATAAGAGACATCATGCAAAAAAAGTAGTCAAAATGGGTTTGGAAATACACAAAATGGGAATTTCTGTTTAACTATGATACTCAAAACTTTTCACAATTACAATACTTCTTTTACTTCATACAAGGAAGTAAAAATGATCCACACATAGAATGTTTTTATATTAGGAAATTAGAATCACCTTGGTTTTTCATGAGGATGCAGGACTGTTTCAAAATATAAATTTTGATTTATGTTTTGGAATATGTTCATATATTTTACACTGTATATTTTCTTTTGTTGCCTTAAGTTATAAATATTTATGCAAATGACAATATAATTAATTTTTGAAACTGTAAAAAAAATAAGAAATGGAGATATTTATTTGTTTACTGTTTTATTACTGGACTAAGCTTTACTGAAGGTTAAAAACAGAACATTTTATTCTTGTAGGGTTAAAAAATTATTTATGTATAATTTGTTCATCTAATTATTTAAAGAAACAAGTACAGCAGTAAAATTCTTTAAGACTGTACAATCAAAAGTCGTTAATTCGGACACCCATAATCCGGAATGATCTATAATCCGGACCTCAAAGCTAAAAACGTTCTGCGCATGCGCCGCGGTGGCACATGCGCACAGGCGTTTTACGCGAGCGCGTAAGACCTTGACTACTGCGCATATGCGTGTGCGCAACTGCAGAATACGTTTTCGCCTGCACGTTTAATGTATAACGGACGGTGTAAGCTAAAATTATCTATTTCAGTTAATGTTAATGATTGCATTGTTCCTTAATCTTCGAATTGGATCCCGCTTATTATTTTTAGCAGACTGTAAGAGCAATTTTATAAAAGTAAACTTGAACTTTCGATTATGTCAAATAGAATTTCCGATGCTGGAACTTCCAAAGGATCTACAAAACGAAAGTATGTTTCGATGTCCAACAAACAAAAATTGGAATTGCTGCAAAAAATGGATAAAGACATGAAGAATGTGACAGAGAGGTTAGTGAAAATGAAAAAAATTTCGATTGACAAGTTAGTCGGTATTCTCGGCACAGCAATTAACGGGACTTGAACAGCGGAACTTTGTAACTGAACAAGAAATTATGTCTTTTTTATAGAATTAAAGAGAAAGTACGAGGGCTATCCAGAAAGTAGATTACGTTTTGGAATAAAAAAATAAACAAAGTATAGGAAACAAATTTTATTATATACAGATGAAAGCCACACTCAAATACTACTTTTCTACATAGTCACCATACAAATTAAGGCATTTATCGTAGCGATGTACGAGCTTGGAAATTCCTTCGTCGAAAAATTCGGCCGCCTGCGCCTTCAACCACTTCGTTACCTCTTCTTGCCTTCCATCTTGCACAAAACTTGTGGTAACCAAGCTTTTCGCTGATGATTTCGTGCAACAAACTTCGCGAAATTTGTGGAAAACTCAAAGAAAGTTCCGTTATTGTGAAATTTCGATTTTCACGGACTTTAGCATCGACTTTTTCGAGAAGTTCGGCGGTCACTATGCTGGGTCTCCCACTTCGATCTTCGTCGTGAACATTGGTTCGGCCATTTTGAAATCTTATGACCCACTGACGCACTCCACCTTCAGTGATAATGTTGTCCCCATACACTTCACGAAGCTGCCGATAGATTTCTATCGGTTTACAGTTTTTTGCAGTCAGAAACCTTATTACTGAGCGCACCTCGCAGCTCGCGGGATTTTCAATTAACGCAGACATTTCAAACCGTCACAGTATCTGAACGGAGCACAGCACGAACCTCTCACTAGCACGGCTAGATGCAGACTGAGCTGCGCAACGCTCTGACCCCAAGATGGCCGCGCTAGCCCCGCCCCTAGCGGACACAGACGGAAACGTAATCTACTTCCTGGATGGCCCTCGTATTATCACATAAAAAAGAAGCAACTTAAACAACTTACATTGAGAGAAATGTTTAATAAAGTAAACAAATAAATATTAAGCTTTTTTTTTCGTAAATTTTGATACCCTTTAGATCATAATTGTTCTTTATTTCATAAATTACGGTTTCATATTTTTTAATTTTAGAATTTCTGCATAACATCTTACGAGATTTAAACTGATGATCAATAATCCAGAATCGCCGAAGTCCCGACGAATCCGGATTAACGACTTTTGACTGTATAATGGAATGTGCAGAAAAGCTATTTAATGCAGCATTCAAACTATGTTGTTTTGTAATTTTTTTATGGTAAAATTGCTAAAATTTAAATATTTATTTATTTAGGTGAAAATGTTGAACAGCTTTTTCATCGTATTGCTGCTTTAACTTTCACAGAGTACATTTTAAAAGAATCAGAACATAAAGAAACTATAAGAATTTCTGATACATTTGTTAGTAAGTAAAATATTTTTTTAACTATATATTGTTGTGTGTGTACGGGTTTGTAATAGATTGAATGCACAAGTCTGATAAAAGTTAATAAAATTATTCTTATCACAAGAAATATAACAGAATGCTGGTTTTTCCTCAGAGATATTCATACAATATCACACAGTATAATCAGTAATGATACTTTAAACTACACTCATGTCCAAAATTATGTTTACATGCATAAATTCACGGATTTCTCAGAGACTATGACTTATAATTTAATGAAATTTCGTGGAATCATACATAACATGATGACACATAAATGCAAAAGAAAAAATTGAAGATCACCTCATATGATATAAAATTGTAGCATGAAACAATAAAAATGGTAATAAAGTGTGACAAAGAGAGTTAAGAAAAAAAGGAATGATTCAGAAAAATAATTAAGTCTTACGAATTTAATATGGAATATGATCTCCGACTTGTACACACATATCACAACGTGTGTTAAGGCTGGAAATAACGTTATTAACCACAGTTTGGGGAATTAATCTCCACTCTTCCAGCAATGCCGTCTTCAGAGCATTTACATCTCTAGGAGGAGGATGTATATGTGCAATTGCTCTTCCAAGGTAGTCCCATAAGTTCTCTATCGGGTTAAGGTCAGGAGAGTTTGGTGGCCAAGGTATTCGCTTAATGTCTTCACTTTCAAGGAATTCATCAACGAGGTTTGCTCGATGTGGACGAGCATTATCATCCATAAATAAAAAAATCAGGTCCATATGCACCCCTGAAAAGTCTTACATAAGGATCTAAGACCTCATTCCGATATATCTGGCCTGTCACAGATCCGCTGCTGAACACGTGTAGGGCGTACGTCCATCGATCATTATTCCACCCCATACCATCACACCTCCACTACCGAAACGGTCACGTTCCACAATGTTCGAGGGATCATTTCGTGTTCCTGACTCCCTCCAGATGTAAACACATTTAGAATCACCAGTTAAACTAAACCACGACTCATCAGTAAAAAGAACATGGGACCATTGATGTTCAGTCCAGTTTTGATGTTCTTTACACCAATTAAAGCGATCCCTCTTTTTTCTGTGAAGACAGTAAACACATACCCTTGGCTTTCTGGCATAAAGGCCTTTTTCATTAAGTCTTCTGTATATTGTTTGCCGTGATGCAACAGTTCCAGTGGCGGCTGCAAGCTCTGAACTTAATTGACGGGCAGTTAATGCCAGATACCGATCTTCAGAAGCAGTTGTCATTCGTTTCCGACCTTGTCCAGGCCTCCTTACAACACTTCCATCATTTTGAAACTGTTTCCATAGCTTAGAGACTGTCTGTCTTGAAATATTCAGACATGTGGCTGTTTCCATGATTGACTGCCCTGCTTCTAAACGGCCGATAATTCGCCACTTTACAGATTCTTCCAAATGATACTTCGAAGCCATAACAAACCGCTTTGAGTCCCTAAACACTGAAATCAAACGCTATGTTGCAGAAATTCACTCAAATATTCAGTTTGCGCAAAGCGCTTGATTCACCCTTGGATAACATAACGCCTAGATTTGCATATCACAAACCGTTTGATTACTTTTGATTGGATAATGCTAATTAGGCTTGGTTTTCACACATTCCCTGCAAATACGGATCACATTGATTCGATATTTCATTGAATATCATCATTTTGGGGTATGTAAAGATAATTTTGGACATGAGTGTACTAAAAACATTAAAAATACAATACATTGCAAAGGGAAAGCTAATCTGATCTCTGAACAACAACTCACAATAATAGTAACTAAGCAACTGAGCTGAGATGCCTCTCTCTGGCTTTCAATCAGTCACAAGAGAGTTCTGGTAATTTCTTTGCTTCTTGAGATTTCTGGAAACCAACAAGAGGATGGAATTACGGTTACAGCTAACACAGTAATCAATTACATGTTTTCAATTTCAATTTCAATACAAATATCTGTTTATTCAATGTTAAATGCAGGTGCTCTTATATTTTTACTTTTTCGGTGTAGCTTTCTCTTAAAATTTATCACACGCTGCATTGCATGCGAAAGTAAAATAATTTAATTATAATTCTGCTAAATATATTTAGCTTAAATGCAAAATTCATAGCAATATAATTAACATATTTGAGAATTATTTAGGTTAACCCCTTGAACTAGAAATCTGAAGTTTAGTCATCATTCAATGTTTTGTCTAACTTAATCTAAGACTATATCAGTTATTTATGGCTTGGAAATTACGTAATTTTTTATGTCCTTTAGAATTTTAATATTAAAAATAAGTTCATAATAATCAGCTCTAGCTGATTACTGTGAGTTATTGATTAAAAAGTCCAGTGAAAAAGGTAGTAAATAATTTTTAATTTTGGCTCTTGAATTCTTATAACATATCAAGGGGTAATTTAGGGTTGCCTCTCAGGTTCAAAGGGTTCTGTATATTTACAGAATAAGCTAAAAGTTTTTTATTTGCAAAAATCAATTTCAGATTTTTGATATGTAGTGACTTAATTAACTATAAAACTATTTAAAAACATTTCCATTGCTAAAAAAAGGAATTAGCAGTATTCATGTATAAATAGCTATAGATTATCTCTTATTAGTCTTCTGGGGATTAAATAATCTTAAATCATTTTCTGTGCAGCTGAATTTCAAATAGTTCTTTTTTCCCCATTTTCATTGTTTTGGTGGGTGAAAGGATAATTTATTTTCTACCATTTCAGTTTTTCTCATGTGCATCATAACTTAATTAATTATAAAACTATTTTAAAACATTTCCATTGCTAAAAAAATGAGTCAACGGTATTCATGAGTAAATAGGTATAGATTATTTCTTATCAGTCTTCTGGGGATTAAATAATCTTAAATCATTTTCTGTGCAGCTGAATTTCAAATAGTAGTTCTTTTTCCCCCATGTTTATTGTTTTGGTAGGTGAAAGGAGGATTTTTTTTTTTTTTTTTTTTTTGGCCATTTCAATTTTTCTCATGTGCATCATAACATAATCAAGTACTTTTTTTAGAAGTCCAAACAGATGAAAATCACCAGATGCCATCTCCAGGCTATAGTTGGAAGTTCTTGTGCAGCAATGCAGCACATTGAGAAAAGTCCTGGCTGTTTTCTATGAATTTCATTGCTCTATATACCCAATATATCAGAGTAACTGACACCAGCACTGTCATTTCAATGAAGAACCCTGATCATTCCAACATTTTTAATGGATAAAGCTGATGTAAATTTCTTGGAAGAAGGTGTGATGGGTATTTGCATGACAATGAATGCTTGCTTTATCTGAGATCATGATGCACCCATGTTTCATCCATTAGCGATACTGCTAGGTCATATGTGAGGATTGTCATGAATTAGTGCTTCAGTAAGGCAAACATTGTCATCTGTGGCAGACATATTTGGCTGATTAGATCATAGCTCATCATGCACATTTTATCCTGCCTATTTTAAACTTAATGCACCAAAACCAAACCAGTTTATGTGACTTGATATTAATACCATTTGCTTCAACAAATTGACCATGAGTTTCTTCTGGTAAGATTTGCTTTAGATGCAGAAATTCTATCACATTTTGCATTTCAACATTTGACCACATTTCTGATAATGCTGACAACTTATTACTAATATTTTGCCATGCTAGCACAATATCTGCATCATCTGCTTGGTTATCTTTGAATACTGTAGTATTTAAACATCCAGCTGTTCCACAGGCAGAAAATTTGAATCACAGGAAGATTATTACCCTTCTTAATCTCCTGTTCTTGTTATCTTGCTTTTTGAATTGCTCTTGTAAATTAAGGAAGAAATGAGTTGCACACTGCATAGTTTAAAGTGAAGCCAATGCTTTGCAGTGCTCTATTAAAATACTGCCCAACCAGAAAAATTACCATGCATATCAATTTTAATTGCAAATTTATAATGTTACAATTTTTCATAATTTTAAAAATTATCAAAATTTAAAAACTCTTGCCCCCAAATATAAATGTATGCAGAAGTGAATATTAATATTTTAGTGTGTTTATAATTTAAAATATTACAGAACATGAAAGCTTTTTTTGTTTATTTATTTATTTATTTACTTTTCTTTCCTTAATAAAATATGTATAAAGTATAATTTGAAGAGTGCTTATCTTTTCATCATAAAATATGATATAAAAATGCAAGCAAATGTGCACATACATGAGAGATTGTAAAAGTGTTTTGAAAAACTACCTACAAAAATTATATAAGAAACAAGCAAAATATGCCACATAAGATGAGAATTGGATGCAAGTTAAACTGTAAATTAATATACCTGGAATATAAGTTATAAACAATCTTCCAGTGTTGACTGTATAAGTACTTTCTGAGAAAACAGAAATTCATTTTATTATTTTATTACATTTTTTCCAGAACTCAGCAAAACTAGTCCAAAGAAGAAAAAGCCAAAATGTATGCCTGCATGCAATTAATATGTGTGTTTATGCTTCCAGATAAATAGAATAAAGCCTGCTTTAATTAGTACTTCCATTTTGTATGACAAAAGAAATTTTCTGTTTAATCAAACCCATTAGCACCAAAAATATTTTTTAGTATTTTGTCTTAAAATATGTCATTTGGAGTGTATAATACATTGGAAATTGCAAATCTAATAAATTATCACAGTTAGTAATAGAATATATGATTTTAACTTTTCCATTTTTTAAACAAATTTTGTGATAATTTGTTATGATGTGTTATTATATGATTAGAGTACCTTGTTTTTTATGGCCAGGGGGAGATTTCTTTTAGTATTGTTGTAAGACAAAGAAATAATCTATTCTTTTTTATACAAATTTTAATTAAATAATTCCAGTGTCTACATTCTGTTTCTCATTATTGACTTTTTTGCATAATTTATAAATAGATATATTAAGAGAAAAGAAATTTTCCAGACACTGTATTTCATATGCATTGTGATTAAGCAATACATTTCCTTCAAAGGTATTAAGATAGTCATATTGGGTTTTACCTATTTTTGATCAAAAATATTTCATGTAACTTTTTTGTAAATTTGTAATTAAATTTAATTTTTTGGATTATGATTTATTTTTGAACCAGCAAGAAAATAATAGGTGCATGTAAATAATAGAAATGAAATAACTGTATAAATACAGTACCTGCAGCTTATTCCATTCCTAACATATTTAAGTTTATTAAAGGACTGAGTATAATATTTGGCAAATTTGTGTATTGCAAATCATGAAATCAGTTTTAAACTTAAGTAAAATATTTCAGGACTTAACCCAAAATAATAGTTAAAAATTAATGCTAAAATTAAACTATATATGTAGTTTTAAAATTTGTATTTTATTTTTTATAAAATATTTTGATAATTACATACATATAATTATGTATGAAATTTCATCTCTCACAAACAACTCTTCTATGTCTCATCTGTTTCATATTGTTCAACAACAATTTTTCAATTATATTCTCAATTTCACAAAATTGCACATAAATTTTTTTATCAGCACTTTTTGGTTCAAGAGTTTTTCTTAGAATTTGCTGCTCTAGATGTGACTGATAGCCATTATTTTTTCTCATCATCATTGGTATGTCATAATTTTTTTTCTGTATCACTTTCACTCTTAGTTTCTGCAGGTCATTTAACACTTTTTATAATCAACTTTTACACTTATTGCCCCAATGTTAGAGTGAATTGATACATATTCTAAAAATTAATCTTCATACATTACATCAGCTGATGTCTGAAACATTTCAAGTTTCATAGTTTGCAGTTCCTTTGAGGCTTCTTCTGTACAAAAGCCACATTTTCTAAAAGAGTTTTTAACTAGTTTAACACCTTCAGCGACTATAATATGCAAAACTTATCTTCATTTTTACAAAATTCAGTTCTGTTCATCATTTTCTGTATGTCTTTTCTATAATGATATTTGAAAGCTTTTGTAATGCCCTGGTCTGAAGCTGAATGTTAGAAGTATTTGCAGGAAGAAATGCTAATGGATAATCATGGATGGACTACAAAAATGGACACTATGAATGAATTGTAAAAAGCTTTGATAGGTATTAGGTTAGGTATTCTGGCATTGAAGAATCAGTCCTTTGCCAATGAGAATATTGTAAGTGAAGATGAGTTAAATAAACAACAGTTTTCTATTGATTAGTATGTATTTGTTTAGGTTCCTGGAAATTTGAACATAATAAGTGGCTGAGTTGATTAACCATTGAGTTTAATAAGTTTTAATAAGTGGTGAGTACTGTATTAACATGTAATTTACAGTGGTAATAATTAACTTCACAATGGTTCCATTGATAGTAATGGTACAAGCTGAGCCTTTTATTTAAATACCTGATAATTTACATACATTCATATCCAAACTTTTTAATTACAGTTTTAGTGATTCTAGATATTTAAGTATTATTATTTTTGTAACATTTAATATAAAAAGATCCTAAGGCTACTGAAAGGTAAACAAAAGTGTAAATTTTATCAACAAATAAGTTGAATAGAAATATTATTATCTATGAAGAAATAATTTAAATGAAAAATATGCTTAGCTTTTATTTTATAAAACTAAATAGGTATTGTATAAAATGAAAGCATTTGTGTGATTGAAAGTAGTGCATTATTTTGTATAGCAAAATTAGTAAAATCTTAATTTTTGCACTTAAGTTGTGTAGAACTTAGGTAGGTAGTTCTAAGTATGTGAAATACATTTGGTGAAGTCCAATTTAATGAATAAAAGTAAAGTAGTATTGTAAATATTTTAATCAAAAATATTCCATTCTTAAAATATGAATGGCATAAGTTGATGTTGGACTGCATTTTATGCATGCATGTTAGTTATATGATTGCAAAGTGCAATATTTTAGTTTTAGAAAGCATTAATTGTATTTCCTTGTGAATTTCTTGTATGATGAAAGTATTCATATCCTTTCCCTCATTACTTAAGTAGTGTTAAAGTGAAATAATTTTGAATGTTTTAAAAATAATTAAAAATTTACAAGCAACAATTTTACTTTCTTGTGTTAAATTATACTAATCTGAACTAGAAGTATTAAATGGTTAAGAAATGTGTCTTAATTTATCTTGCGTTGCCATATGTTATTGAGTATTTAGTGTTTACACTAATGTGCAAAACTTAAGAAAGGATCAGGTTTTTACTTACAGCTTTACTTTTGAATGCCCTAATTATGGGTAAATCATTGAAAAGATATGAGAGGTACTAAAGTGGCGAGAAAAAGCACAGTAACTGTAGCAGGTATTATATATATGCAGAAAATATCTATTTTGAAGTGATTATGCTGCAGTTGTTATGATACAGATAAATTCTTATCAGAGATGAAATATAGAGGAACGTATATTGTCAATGCAATGTTCTCTCTCTTTAATTATATAATAATAGCTGCAGCATTATATTTATTGTAGCATTGTCCATAAACTCAGGGCCAATACCATCTCAGAGCAGACACACAAGGTACAGAATTTACTCACTCCAACTGTATTTACTGTTGTCTTTTACTGTCATTCACATTTCACAGTCATTCTCCCCCTTCTGTCTTACCTTGAAACCATGGTAATGACTGCTGTGGATGGCGGTCGAGTTTTTCAGTTTGCTAAAACCTCCTTATCCTCTCTGTGTAATAATTGATGATACACATTCTGATTCCATACAGCTTTCCATACAACTTTGAGGATCCATACAACTTTGAAGTGTCTATTTTAAGGGAATAGTGTGTATTTCCATTACTTGCATCCATCTGGCATATTATCTCCTTAGATGAGAGCACCTGTATTCTTGCAGTCATCTCAGAATATATCATGTGCAGATTTCACTGATCCTGAATTACTAGTGAAACTGAATCTACTCTTATTAAGAAACATTACCTTATTAGTCTACTATGTTATTATCCAGTCCGTTGAACACTGAACCTGCTGTAAGGATGACACCAGTGGCCAGATATAATTTAGAGATCGCCAAGGAACACTGAACCTGCTGTAAGGATGACACCAGTGGCCAGATATAATTTAGAGATCGCCAAGGAACAAAGTATACATGTGGTATTGTTTGGCCATAGTAAATCATGCTATTCAGGATCTTTGCTTTTGTTTAGTTGGTTGGCAAAGTGCCCTTTTTCGGATATCAGTTTCATACTGACATCAGGTAGGCCTACAACACTATAAAGCAGTCAGAATTTTTATTTTTTTATTTATTTATTTTTGTAGAGGGAAGGGAGCTGTCCTAGTCACTATGGAAGTCATCCGCCACCTATAGTATAATGGTATCAGTAGTATCAAACTCTTTGCCTTTAATCCAACTTCCCAGTTCTGCTGAGTCTTTCAGCAGATTGGCCCACTTTATAAATATGTGATTTTTCAGCCTGCTATCTTACCAGTAACAAAACTGTGTTTAAATAAGGGATTAATTATGGTATAATGATTTATCATCACATCAAGAAATGAAAATGTTCATCTTTCTCTTGAAGAGACATGTTTGCATTTTCAAATAATTTCTGATGCATGCCTCGGCATATCGCTGTCAATCCAGTTGGTTTTAGTTATAATGTTTATCTGGAGGTTTTGAGTGGTCAGTGCTTCACATTTTACTAATTTGTAGCTTTGGTATTCATATATAGGACAGTAAGAAAATTAATAAGCTGGTATCCCCTTCAACAGACATGTTATCCTTCAGTATATATAATATCTTTTTCATTCTGGCAGAAACTGATGAATTAACACAGGAAGAGAGAGAATATTGCTTCCATATGCAGAAAACTATTACATTCCCTCCTGTATTGTACTTTTGCATATCAAAACAGAATAAAGTTACAACTAATTAAAAAGTATGACATCCTATAGAGATAAGATTAGTTAGATTACTGTATGATCATATATGTCTAGAAGTTATCAAATTGCTTCCTAATAGCTGTGCCTTGTAATACATTGTTTGTAATATAGGGAAAAACTCATTGAATATCTCTAACGAACACAGCTGTTAAAAAAATCTGGAAATAAATCTTGAACTTTTATCATTTATACTGTATGGGATCATATTCTAGAATGCAAATATGCTACATCTTCCTGCCAAAAATGCTAAATTGCAGTAAGTTGTTTCTTTAATTTAATGGTTTATAATCTTTAAAAACTATTTTGCTCTGAAGTTTTGCATGCCAGTGTATAAGTGCAGTTGCAGAATATATTTTCCTTGTTTCAGATTATCATTTTAGTATTAAATATATAATTTTTTTTTCTAATGCTGATTGAATGTGTAATTCATGTTGAAATTGTTAAAATTGTCTGTGAAATATTTATTTTTAGGTAACTTAATATTGTAAACAGATTAAACTGATTTTTTTCCAGTTTATGAATTAAATTTTATTTTCTATTTATATTACATGTATAATTTTTGCCTAATATATGCATTTTATTAGTGTGTGTATTTGTTATTTATATATGTATATATATACTTTAAAAAATATATAATTAAGTTGACTGTAGGCATAGATACCCTATATTGTATTTAACATATTTATGCACATATGGGAATATTTTGGGGTAATGCAATATTTTATACTCTATGGGCATTGTTGAACAGATTTGAAACAAATTTATGATTTATATGTAGTAATTCTAGTCATATGTAAATTAATCAAAATAACATATATAGTATATTTTTATTTTTATAAATCTGTTTTCAGATTGAGGAGAAATGTTTGTGAAATTATATCACATTAGAGGTGTATATTGTACAGCTTTGATGAGCCAAATTAAGTGACCAAATTTTGAATTCAAAGTTAATGTTAATTTTTCTGGCTAAACTGAGATTTTGATTAATCAATCCTTTTCACATTTCTTTGGCTCATCAAAATTCAACTATACTTTTTCAACTGCATTATTAAATTTTTGTGGAACTGCTTCATTTTTTTAATTAGCATCATCTTGCTGCAAAATAAATAAATAAATAAAAAGAAGGCTTTTGAAACATGAGTTCAATTTTTAAAATTGTTATCTATTTATAACCTTTAAGCCATGTTTATCTATTTTATTATAAATTAGTGCTGCTAAAGATTTGATATATTATTTTATTCTGTGGCTGGGTTCAGAAAAGAGAGTCATAGTCTATGCAATAAATCTAATGATCCTGAAAATTACAAACAATAATTTTCAGTTTTGCTGTTTTTATAAAAATTAATATAATGGAATTTGAAATGCTAATTTACACTTTCAGTGTTTTATTTATATCTTTAAAAAACATAAAATTTTATAATATAAATTAAGAATAAATGAAAAAATGCTTTTTAAAATTGGGAAAGTCTAAAATAGCAAGATATAGTTTTTATTTAACCCTCCAGCACGCGCGCTTGGCAATTTTACATGAGCACACGCGTGTCGTATTTTTTATGACATCTGTTATTTTACCATTTTTGGCACCAAAAACGACAGAAATGAGTCAATATTGATAGTAAATTTGTTAATAAAATATTAATCTTATTATTGCAAAATACAAATGATATCACATTCAAATATAAGTAAATTATTTTTAAGTTCTTATGTGAGATGGAAATGCAAAGATGTATTTCATTATAGAAAATTTTAAATTCAATATTTAATAATTATATTTTAAAATCGAAGCTAATTTTAATATTTATCAAAGACAAGTATAGACAACAAAGAAGCAAAACACCTTGGTAGGAAAAAAAGGTAAGCTTAGCATTATTTACTTCTGCAAGAAAATTTACATCTTACTGGTTACAAAAACGCACTTTAATGTTTTTATTTATTTCTAAAAAATAGAAATAAAAGAAAATAAGGAATGGAAATCACTATTGTTTTCCCATCCGAAGGTTTCCTTGTCATCATCAGACAATTCTTGAAGAATCCGAGCAAAATCAGCTTGCACATATTTTTTTGCCATGAAAACCGATATAAAATTTACAGAGCCAAATGTATTCAAATTAAAATAATACACGGCAGTTAATAACACAAAATTACAAAATATTTGAGAAAAAAAAATATTTTCCGAATTTTAAACCACGACCACGTGCGTGTTGTAACTTTTATGAAAAAGCTGCCACGTAGCACAAAAGCCCAGTTAAAAAAAAAAAGTCAAATGACTTCCTATTGGCACATTCCATGATGTGGGGAAGGGTAGAAAGGAGGAATACAAAAAGACCTTGAGAGGTCTCAGCTTCAATATGCGAAAAATGTGCATTGAAAACTGAATTTCTCGTAAATTTTGCACATACGCGCGTGCTGGAAGGTTAAAAGTATTTTCTGTAATTTAAAATGTTTGCTATTCAATACTTTAATGACTTTTTAAGAATAATATCAGCTGTTCATGAATATTGTGTTCTGTTTTATATGTATAAATGTCTACCATATCAGAATATTTTTCAGTCTTTCATCAATTGGTAACTAAATTGTTTTTAAGCCAGTAGTATATAAATGATTTTATATAAGTTATTTTTGCATTCATTTATATATATATATATATGTGTGTGTGTGTGTGTGTGGGCAAAAAGTAATTTGCACATAACACTCTAGTCTAGATTGTGTACTTTGTTTTGCATTGCACAGTCTTAAATTTATGGTATTATATACTTAATTTTCCTACATTTGTACTGAATTCTTTTGCCTATGTACTTAATATGCAAACATTTAAAATTTTGTATTTAATTTATTTATGTCTATAGTTTATGTTGTTCACTTATTCATGAGGTGCTTCATGGAAGTATTAGATTTGTATGTTTTGTTTGAACAGTAATTCTTGTATTTTAAGACTCTGATGCAATTATAATTCAACTTTTTATTATTATTATTATTATTATTATCACTTTTTTTTAATGTAAAGGTAAGAAAATTTGCAAAGATATGTGTTTGTGATAGTTAGGCAAACAAATTAATTTTCTTTGCAATTGTTGATAATTATAGAGGAAGTATTGCTGCTTATATAGTAAGTGTTATTTGTTTTGAATTTGTAATTTTCATTCATTATTTGGAGTTTATGAATTTGTGCTTGTTTAGTAATTTGTAACATTCTGTATTAGTGTTTACAATATACTTCTAGATTTATATATTAGTTGATCATTTTGCATTTAAATATGTAAATTCTTTAGAATTTATTTGCCAGTTTACTTATACAAATTTTTAAAATTTTCTTTTTTCTCTGTATATTTTGTTTCTGTTATGTCTAGTTACAAAATTTAAAGTGTTATTTTTGTGACAGCTTTCTTAGTATGTTTTAAAAGATTAAGTGTATTAAATTTTGTCTAGAATTTATAGAATGTTTCCATTAAATTTCTTCATGAACTGAAATTAAAGCATACAATATCCATTGGCTTCATTGGCATAGTTTATGCCTTTTTGAATGCCTAGCATTTTATGAACTATGGAATTATGCATTTATTTTTTTGATGCTTGGTACTGTATTTTGTTCATAGCATTATAAAAATGTGTATATTTTTATAGCAAAGTTAATTCTGAAATTGTACTTTGTATTAGTTTAAATTAAAAGCCAGAGTATTTTGCATTAAGTTTACATTTTGTTTAATTGTTAATTGTGTCTAGAAACCTAAACAGTTTAAATAAAAAGCCAGAATATTTTGCTTAAAGCTCACTTTTTTTTTAAACGTGTCTAAAAACCTAAACATATCTAAATAAATAAGTCTAAAATAACATGTTAAGCTTATTAAAATATACCATTATATAAATAATAACATGTTGCTTATTAAAATATTCACTCTCCAGTAATTAAAAGAAAATTTATTGTGCTAAATTTTTTTTGTTAATTTGATGTTCCTTATTTTAAAATTTCAGCATCTAAAAATGTAACAGTTATAAAATTTTGAAATGTTCACTGATTATGTAAATCTCTTCACCTCACCTAATCAGGCAATTTTCTACTTTTTCCCCAACAAGAAAATATGCTGCAGTATGAAGAGAAGCATCAGTTATGCCATGGGCACTGGTTGGAAACATAGTTTCAGGGTTATGATGTCATTACATAATACTACTTTTCTTGCTTCATCTAATATTGATTTTATTTATTTATTTATTTATCTGATTCCCCTTGCTACAAAGAATTATTTGCAAAGAAATTAAGCTTTCTGTAGAACTTTTTTGCCATTTTATAAATACCATTCCACCCTCTCCCCATTTTGCATAGATAGATTTTGTGTTTACAATTTATTTCATTTCATTCATCTCAAAAACAAAAATTTAAGTTGTAAGGTATTTCTCCGGCCTTCTTAGCATGCCTTCGTGGTGTAATGGTCAGCACGCTCATTCGAGAGATCCGTGGTTAGAGTTCCAGGAGAGCATTGTTCTTTTTTCATTTCTCTTGCTTTCAAAAAATATCTAATGTCTCTACAAAGTATTGATTGGCATTTAAAATGGTTTGTAATGATTCATGCAACGTCATTTTTAAAAGTTGATTTAATTTTGTGATATGTAATATATTCTTTAATGAAATTATAAAATTCTAACACACAAAAATGTATCTGTTATATAAATTTGAATATGCCCCCTAAAAGGTTAAACAAACTGTTCTCCTTTTTTAAAACAAGAATGATAAAACAGTAATAATAATAATAGTAATCAAGCAACGGTAAAGATTTTTTTTTTTTTTTTTTAAACTAACCGTGTTTCTGTAAGCTTTTATTTTATGCTTTCATGGTATTTGTTGCTATAATCAAAATTTTGGTGTTAGTTTCTAAACTGTTTCGTGATAAGCTATAGAGCTCAAATTTTACATACACCATCATCATGGCTTACAATACAATGTGTTGAAGCGATTTTTTTCAAGATTCTATTTACATCCAATCATCGATTTACATTCAAGATCGATTCGTTACATTTAATGTTGAAATAGGTTTTCGCACATATCTTCATTCATTGAACAAACAAACTGTCAGAATTTTACTGTTTACACCTTCGAATAGAATAGGAGGAATTTTTCAAATGAAATATTTAATGTAATTTCTGACTTTTGGCAAGTTTTCAAAAATCGCTCAGTTTCTTTTTTTTCAAAAATTTGATTGAACAGAATTGTTGGAAGTAAAACTGTGATTATTCATGGTTGAAAAACGAGTTTTCAATTGAATGATTTGATTGACAACAAAGTATTCAATTGAAAATTTTAGTTAAAAAAATTTAATTATGATATTCAATTCAACTATGATTTTTTCATAAAATATATTCAAAAAAGTTTTTTATGAAATAGCCGTAATAGATTGAATGCACAAGTCCGATAATAGGTTAATTTTTTTTTTTTAAATCAAAAGAAGTATTTCAGAACTGTGGAATTTTCCACCAAAATAGTCGTACAAGTATTTACAGTATAATCAGTAATTACACTTCAAACTACTAAGATCGTTAAACACAATGCAATGCAAAGCGCATCTAAACTGAAAGCTAATGCGATCACGCTGAACTCGCATCAACAGCCACTAACTCACTGGCTAAACAAGTGAGAGCAGATGCTTTCTTTTCTGCGTTAAATCGTTTTCAGCCGGCTGCTGAGATATTTCTAGTACTTTCTGCTTCTTGAAATTACTGGAAAGCAATACGACGGTGGAATTACGGTTACAGTTAACTCATTACAACATATTATACTTATTCAATTTCAATACATATTGCGATAATACAGGGACTGGACCAAATTTGGCAACGAAATAAGTCGCCAAAAACTGTTGTCAGCTTGGCAATATCTCGGCAAATTACCGAGATACCCATTTACTCACTAATGTTAAATGCACTTGCTCTTGTATTCTTAATTTTCCTGCGTAACTTTCTCTTAAAATTTATTTCGTGTAAAATTACGCAGAAAAATACAATTTCACGTATTGCACTAAAATAAACTATGTACAAAATTCGTAACAATATTAATCAATTAAAAGAAGCAAAATAATTATGACATAGTTTAATTGGAATGAGCGATTAAATAGATAATTAGAGTAAATAAAATCTCTTTAGAAAATTCAGTTGCAGTTTTATAGCACAGATAAAAAGCAAAATCTGTTAATCGGGGGGGGGGGGGAAACCTTAAAAAATTTCTTCTCCCATTTTTAAAAAAATGACAAGAAGATTTCAACAATTTTGTTATATGCATTTTTTTTTTTTTTTTTTTTTCCCATTAAATAGAAACCGAAGTTTCGTTTCTTTAGCCTTCGCTTGAAAAGGTAGTTTCAAGGTTATGATGTCAATATGTCATACTGATTTTCTTGCTTCCGGATAGATTTCCCAAATACTGATTTTATATATTTATCGATTTGTTTTCCTTCACTTGCTTTAAAATAATTACTTGCGAAGAAATTAAGCTTACTATAAACTTTTTTTTAAATGCTATTTCTTCCTTCCCCATTTTCTATAGATAGATTTAACATTTCATTATATTAATCTTAAAAAAGAAAAGTTTAAAATTATTTGCAATAGAAACTACCCTAGCGTTTTTTAAATATTTTCCATTTCATAAGTTTATGTACATTTTTCGTGAAATTACGAAAGCGAGGAAAATAGTA